TCAAACCTATGATATCAGATCTGGCACTTTATCGAGAAGAGTCCAAACAAAAGGGTCAACAAAAAATTTGACATCTCCGAGAATCATAGTTCTCTCGTTAAACAGTTTGGGCGTAGCCGCTGACATAGAGGATATTCATGCAACTTGTGATTTCGGTTAAACCCAAAATCTCTGTTAAGCCAAGATATCGCTTAAACCCAGATACGGTAAGTTAGTTTTCGAGAAAAGTCAGAAACAGTCAAAAAACTGAAAAAGTGTCTATTTCGATGGGCATAATTTTATGTGCGCATTCAATTTTCTATTTTCTTCTGTTCATGAAAAACAAAATCTCAGATTTGATAGGATAGTTTTTGAGAAAACATAAAAAGTATGGGTCAAATGTTCCCCTCACAGACTTTATCGGACTTTTTCAGGTAAAAGGAAAAAGATACTGGGAAAGTGTGCAAGCACACAGGCAAAGAGGCGGTCTTTCCGTCGGAAGACTTTTTTTTGAAAACTGTTACAATTGTTTCGAGAAAACTAAACCAGAAAAAATCCAAAGCGTCCGAGCAAAACAATATTGAAAAATTCGATCCAGAAAACTTTCATAATATCTGTTTTTATCAAACGGAAACTATCAATTGGAATAAACATGCTGGTGAAGACAATTAAATTGTGATCATATGGATCAAAACCTATGAATTGGAAAAAAAATCGACAACCTTTGAGCAGAAAGCAGTTGAGCCGAAAAAGATTGAAAATATGATCTACAATGAATAACACTGGTAACTAAAACGATACTTGCTTACATCATAAGACAAATAACTGACATGGCAACTAAGCCAACCAAAGTTGAGCAGATAAACTAAAATTCGATTAATCATTTTGGTTTGGAAATTTTTTTCATTTTGTATGCAAAATTTAAAAAAAAAACAAGATTCAACCAGGAATCGAAACCCGATTCTTAGGGTACAAAAGCGACGGCGTTATCTCTAGGTCAATTGTCAATAAAGCTGCAATTTGCAATGATTCAATAAAAAATTAAGATGCAAATGTGTAAGAAAATTTATTTACGGAAAAAACTAGCTCGCGATCAGAAGACACCTGCTTACGCAAGTTCAACCATAGAAAACATTGGATCACATTTAAAACTTGACTACTTATACGTTTTTTTCTGAACCCTGTTGACTGTTAAAAACCTTCATCTATCTCAACTATGAATACTCAAAATGCCAAAATAAGCAGCTAGAAGCGAAAAACTCTATGATAAAAACGTATAAAAGTACGGGAACTTTTACTTGAAATGGAAAAACATGGACACAGAAACAAGCATCTTGTAGGTCTTAAGTTCCAAGAAATTACAATGCAGCCTGAAGGCAAACTCTGAATTGAAAATTATCTAGGAGATTCAAATCACGATCGATTCAATAAAGTCACTTGCCTTACCACCTAACCTTTATCAAAAACACAAGCAGCAATCAATACGCTTTACTTGAACGGATTTTCCAATTGATGTTTGAGTAAAAAGAAAATTCTTTGTTAGAAAAAACACCTCTCTGTACAGAAGTTTTTTAAATAACACAAAACGGCAAAAAAAAACGCTAGGTCGGCTTCAACCACAAATTTTCTTAAACATCTGCAAGCCTTTCAAATTATTTTTTTTGTTTGACCTCGACGTTCGAGCAGCCCATTTTTGAGCTTTTTCATAGTATTCTTCAACTAAAATACAAGTTTCTTGATAAAAAATGGCAAAAAAATTCTCAAAAACTTTGAGCAGACAGCAGTTGAGCCAAAAAATTTTTAAAAAAGTTTCAAGTCCATCTTAGACTACAATGAACAACACTTGTAACTACTATGATAATTACTTACATTACAAGAAAAATCCCTGATATGGTATATAAGCCGACAAAAGTTGAGCAGTCAAGCGCAAGTCCGGTAAATCAATTCTTACTGGAACAAAACAAGATCCCACCGGATTTCAAATCACAAACCTCAGGGTGACGGCGTTACCTCTAGGCCGAGTGCAAAGTTGCTATGATTCAATAGAACAGCAAGCTGAAAATGTGTAAGATAAAACGTTTAGGGAAAAACATCTAGTTCTCGATTACAAGACATTTGCTTTCGCAAGTGTAATAAAAAAAATCTTTAAGCAAAATAAAAACCTGATTCTTGATACGTTTTTTCTGAAAACTATGCCTTGTTGAAAATCATAATCCATCTCAACTGTGACTCCTCAATTTGCCAAAACACGCAGCTGGAATGGGGAAACTTTATGATAATTAACGTTTAAAAAAGTACGGGATCTAGTATTTGAAAAAATCCTCGGAAAAACATATGGAAGCCTATTCTACGTAGAGGCGTCCAGTACTGCACTGCAGTACTGCACTGTAGAGACAGGCATCACTGCAGGCGAAATGGGAAAAACAAGCGTCATGTAGTTCTTAAGTTGCAAGAAACTACAAAGCAGCCTGAAAAGGAAATCAACATTGCAAATAAAACATCTAGGAAATTCAAACCCCCAATCTTATCATTGAAGACAGACACCTGACTCATCAAATACTCCTTGCCATAAGCACAAGCAGTAATTAATACGCTTTACCCAAGCAGATTTTTGAAAGGATGTTTGAAGAAAAAAAAACTTTTCTCAGTACAGAATTTTTTTTCAATGACACAAAACGACAAAAATGACATATCGAAATGCTAAGACAGCCTCAGCCGTAAAAACTCTAACAACATTTGCAAGACTTTTATATTTTGCTTTTAACCTCGAATTTCGAGTAGTCAATCCATAAATAACTAAGCGTTCTAAGCTTCGTTAAAATAATCGACCGCTCAAATTGACTTTTCTCTATAAAAAACGCCAAAACAATTCTCAAAAACTCTTCAAATCAAGCAAAATGGGGTACTGAGAGCAATTAAAATGCAAAACTGACCGAATGGTATTACTTTTAGAAAACCGTTTCTAATCAACGACATGCATTACGAAGCCAAACTGTAAACTGGATACGAGCAGAATTTTGTTTCTGTATGTTCCTGGATTCCCCAGACAAGTCTTAAAAAATGTTCCAAAATGAAAGTGGATTCCACAAACAAATTTTCAGTGGATTCCGCATACATATACCTGTAACGCAAATTTTGTCGGCGCCTATGTTTTCTCGCGGATTCCGCAACTGTAAGTGGATTCCGGAAAATGTACGCGGAATCAGCAAATGTAAGTGGATTCCGCAAACTTTAAGTGACTCCGAAATTTGTTCAAGACTGAACTTGCATATGAGCAATTAAAAGCTGAGCTGGAGTTCTTATCTCTAACAATGCGGAACTTAAAAGCAATGACTTAACCATTGTCAGCGGAATTCACGAGCAAATTTAAAACATTGATTACCTAAATCGGTGGATATCATCTTTTAGTATTTTGGAAACACAACACCAAACAATTTCAACATTTGAAGTCATAGAGTTGAGAGTGTATGGTACACACACCATATCGACAAATTAGGTCAGTATTTGGGATTGATGAAATCCCAAAAACTGGAATGATGTGAAATAAATATGGAAAATATCCATTATTTGGAGTCATTAGGTTGAGAGTGATTAGAAACTCAACGCATAGCAAATTGTCGAATTAATTTAGTATTTGAGATTTCATCGATCCCAAATACTGGTCAGTAATTGGGATTCCACTAATCCCAAACACTGATCTATTTTAGCAAATTTCTATTCTAGTAAATTTCTATTCTAGTGAAGTCAAATGATGTGTTTAAAAGATATCATTTTAAAGGCTACTACACATATAAATATATGTAAAGGGAATCTGCAAACAAAATGTGGATTCCACTTACAGTTTGCGGATTCCATTTACAGTTGCGGATTCCGCAACAACTCAATTTAACAATACAAATGTTTTATTATTTGCTTTTGGATTCTAGAAACTGTTCTGGATTCCGCAAATACAGTTGCGGATTCCGCAAATTCGCCTATATTTCGAGCGATTTTGAGCGGTACAATGATTTAGGTATTTGTTTGTGGAAACCGAAACAGCATAGAATATCAAAGAAAAGAAGCAATAATGCGGATCCGCGACAAATCTGATTTTGGCCTGTTGCGGATTCCACTTACAATGCAGAGAATGCACGGTTTGGCCTCGTAATGTGTTTTTAACAAAAAAACACAAAAATGTTGATTAAAAATTGCACCATAAAGCGACAAACTAACAGCAGTTGCAAAGATTGAAAGAAACATAATCATCCAGCGACACAATTTCTTCAATTTGATCAAAATGTTGATTTAATACTGACCTTACACAATTTTTGTCAACACTCCCCTTTTGCTAGAGATTTGTTTAAAAATTAAATTGCTTCGAGTTGGAATGCAACAAAAGCCCCTACCCAAAGAGGAAGAAAAACAAAAAAAAAAGAAAATTAAATCGAATTTATTTCATCAGCAGCTCAACTAGAGTTTTTTAAATTGCCCATATTGAATTTTTTTTGGTCTTACACAATGACAAACAAACCAGAAATCTGTTTCAAATATTCAATTACATTCATAAAAATAATTTCGGGTATCAACCACAAAAACAGCAATTCGACCATTGAAAGGTTACAAAATTGATGAACTATAGATTTTTTGACCAATTTCTGTAAACATTACTTCAATTCTTGTTAGTGATACCTCTTTTATGCTACAAATCTTTTTTCTCCTTAAAATTTGAAAAAATGATCGTGAAAATTTTAAAATAATTTTCTTAGATATCGGTAAAGATCTTGAAAAACCTTCAAAAAATCTTGAAGAATTTTGAAGAATCTTGTCTTGAAGATTTTTCCAAGATTTCAAGAAAAATTAAAATTCGCTTAGTGGGCCGAAAATCCAACATGCAAGTTTCTGGAATTGTTTTCATGATTTTTGGCCAGTTAAAAATCTTATAAAACACATAAAAGTTTTCGAAAAGTTTTTGCTATCTTCTCAAGGTGACTAGATCTGGCGTCTCTTTCGCGATTACTATGCAGCCTTCTTCACTATTATAGGCGAATTTCTTGAATTCTGGGATGAGTGTGTTGCAAACATTGATGAAGCAGCGGGATTGTTTCTACACAGTTTTAATGGCTCAAATTCGATCAGAGTGTTTTCAAATGCATCTTACACTGACAAGTGAGTGGTTTTTGTTTTAATTTTTGAAGAAAAAGACAGAATTTTTGTGCTCGGGGTCAGCGCGTTTTTTGTGCTCGGGTTAAAACTTGATTGTTCGACGGTAAAAAGTCTTATAAAACACATAACTTTTTAAAAAATTACTTTGCTATCATCGTCTTTGCAGCTTTGAGATAGATTGGCTCTACGTCAACAACCACCAACTTGTGGCGATAGAAGTTGGTCGCTCTTGTGGCAAGACACCTGCAAAAATCATCAAAGAGAAAATTGAACAGATGCTTACAAGGACTGTTCCGAGAATTCAACACATGCTGATGAGTATCATCAAGACATATACAACTCACCAGGTGAGCAATCTTACTGCGGCGATTGATTAAGTTTGCCTACTCAGTTTGATTCATAGAGTGTTCTTCGGAGAACTGGCTACTAAACTTTGACACATTCCCCTCGCATTTCGCCTTCAAACACTAATAATGATTTTTACCTTGTTGAGAAGAACCTAAATCACAAATGTATATTTAGGAACAAACCCATGAACAACATAATACTGTCAGAGCTTATCTCGGTGAGAACGTTTTCTTCATTATTGCACTCACCAATGTTCAATTGGAAGACATTCGTAAATATATCAGCGGCCGAATCAGTGATAATAAAAGAAAACGAAAGACTGGCGAAGAAGACAGAAAACGAGCGGCTGGCAAAAAAGTTGTTAATGACATTGATTGTTCATCCAGTGACATTCTTAATCAAGTTTGGTTCATTACAAAGGAAACGGTAAAATCACCCCCAGAGAAGAAATTTATTTATCGATTCAGCGGGCTGATGGGACAATCATCATGTTGCGAGCAAACTTTGTGGACAGATATCTTGGCATTTAACAATAATCAAGCGGAATGTCAGAAAACAAGGTTACATCATTACATAGCTGGTATAATTTATCTATCGTACAGTTTTCAACAACCTTTGAGCGTCCATGACCGGTTTCAAGAGCAGCATAATGATTATATCGAATCTCGATATGGAAACAAATCTGCGGCGTCAGATGTCAAATATGATGACAGAAAGGTGTTCCAGTTCCAGTTCCAGTTATCTGACATTATTCTAAGTCCACAGCAGCTCTCAATTCTGAGAAGTGGCATTAGAAACCTTGTTGTTTACGGAGAGGCTGGATCCGGAAAGTCATCTTTGCTACTCGCGCTTGCATTAGAAAAATGCGGGAAACAAGTTTCTTCACCAGAACACGTGTATTACTTCACACCTGACCGGAAAAGTTCTTTCCATGAAGATTTAGAAACGTTTGGGCAGAAATATTGTCAAGAAAGATATTTCCATGTCACTTATCTCAGCAAGTTCAAAGATATCATTAAGAACACCCTGAGCAAAGCCACGTTACTGATTGACGAAGTATACCATAATGACTTTGGAGAAGTCCTTACGTACGCTCACAGCCCTGTTTTTCTTAACACATGGGTAGCTTGTGTTATTGGTGGTCAAGAGAATGTCCCTGACGACCGCCGGTACGTGGGCGGATTCAAAACGCGTTATCTCACGGTACTATACAGAAGTTCCGCGCATATATCTGGACTATCGACATACATTCTGAATAAAAAGATATTAAAAGAACTCGGTGCTTCGTCTGCTGTTCTCTTCAAATGCTTCACATCGGGGAACAAAAAGTCGTTCCAGTTGAAACGAGTTTGGCCATCAAACCTAGACCCGCAACATGTCATGCATGAAATGGTTCGTTTTTTTTTTGTATTTTTTCCATTCATTTGTTGATCAAAATTTCGACAGTTTTAAATGGTCAATATGCATAATTCTTGTTTAATGTTACAGAACTCAAACTCAGTTGTATTCTCAGTGTATACAACACTCAGTCAAAATACGATACAACAAAAAGCGAAGCTAATTAATGTTAACATGGAAAGTGTGTCTAAAATAGAAGATTTGGAATTCACTGGGGCAGAATGGGATCACGTTTGCATTTTTATCGGGAATGGACATCACGATCTTCTTCTCTCAGTTGTTTACAGCATGATAACACGAGCTGTGAAAAGCGTCATCATATACACGGAAAATTCAACAGTGTGTAAAGTGATTGATGATTATCAAAGTCATGTCGGCGACAAACTTGTTCTGCAAATTCGCAGTGGCGATTTTCCCAAGATAACCGATATAAAGCAACATTTGATAGATGATACTAAGCTTGTATCCTCTCTTTTAGAAGTATTGTTCCTGAAAGGAGACTCCGAGAAACCACATGTATTTCATCTCATTAAATACATTATCCAACAACATACAGAACTTGCTTACAGTTCTAGCGAAGTTTGGCTGCCAGCGTTTTTCAAAACTCCCAATTGTGGAAGTTTTCTGAAACAATGCAAGGAGCTACCCACAATTGCTGAAGTCATAAAGCGAACGAATTTGTCGGATCTGGAAAATTTGCTATCGTTTTGTTGTCACAAACCAACATTATTGCATATCATAGTCGACATACTGGACAGTTCTCAACGACAAACGTTTCTGAGAGACAATTGTTACAACTTGTTTTCAAAATCGTGTTTCAACGAGTGCGAAGACACAGTTCAGTGTCTGCTGGAACAGAACGCTTCTCTAGTGGTATATAAAAATGGAATTAGAGAAACGACATTACACACAGCTGCACAAGTCGGAAATTTACGAATTGCCCGAATGATTCTGGAAGTCATTCCCGATGAAGAACGAAAATCCTTTATAGAGCAAGCAGACGATGATGGGTACTCACCATTTTTCTGTGCTGTTGATTCTGGTCATTTGAAGCTGCTGCAATATTTCCGCGATCAGCACAAATCGGAGGGGACCAGTCAGCGAGAACTGCACACTATCGTCAATAAAGATGGATGGACGCCTCTTGCGGCTGCTGTGTGGTATAATCAACTTGACGTTGTTAGATGGCTTGTCAGAATTGATCCGGAAGGTATGAAGACACGAAGCAAAGTCAAGAGAAGTGTGCTCCATTACGCTGCTCTGAACGGCAATATTGAAATAGCTTCTGTTTTCTTGGAATTGTTGGAACCATCGGACAAATGTGCATTAATTATATCACTAGACAAATATGGCGCTATATCTCTGCACAACTCGTGTTGCGATGGTCATCTTGAGTTCAGCCAATGGTTGATTGATGAATACGAGAAATGCAAATCAGAATCCGATCCTCCATTACCCACAATTCAAGATAAAGATGGATGGACGCCTCTTGCGTATGCTGTGGAGAATAATCAACTTGACGTTGTTAGATGGCTTGTCAGAATTGATCCGGAAGGTATGAAGACACGAAACAAAATCAAGAGAAGTGTGCTCCATCACGCTGCTCTGAACGGCAGTATTGTAATTGCTTCTGTTTTCTTGGAATTTTTGGAACCATCGGACAAATGTGCATTAATTATATCACCAGACAAAGATGGCGCTATATCTCTGCACAACTCGTGTTCGAATGGTCATCTTGAGTTCAGTCAATGGTTGATTGACGAATACGAGAAATGCAAATCAGAATCCGATCCTCCATTACCCACAATTCACGACAAAGATGAACACACGCCTCTTGCGGCTGCTGTGCAGATTAATCGACTTGACGTTGTTAGATGGCTTGCCAGCATTGATCCGCAAGGTATGAAGACACGAAACAAAGTCAAGAGAAGTGTGCTCCATCACGCTGCTCTAAACGGCAATATTGAAATAGCTTCTGTTTTCTTGGAATTGTTGGAACCATCGGACAAATGTGCATTATTTATATCACCAGACAAATATGGCGCTATATCTCTGCACGACTCGTGTTGGGATGGTCATCTTGAGTTCAGCCAATGGTTGATTGATGAATACGAGAAATGCAAATCAGAATCCGATCCTCCATTACCCACAATTCAAGATAAAGATGGATGGACGCCTCTTGCGTATGCTGTGCAGAATAATCAACTTGACGTTGTTAGATGGCTTGTCAGAATTGATCCGGAAGGTATGAAGACACGAAACAAAATCAAGAGAAGTGTGCTCCATCACGCTGCTCTAAACGGCAATATTGAAATAGCTTCTGTTTTCTTGGAATTGTTGGAACCATCGGACAAATGTGCATTATTTATATCACCAGACAAATATGGCGCTATATCTCTGCACGACTCGTGTTGGGATGGTCATCTTGAGTTCAGCCAATGGTTGATTGATGAATACGAGAAATGCAAATCAGAATCCGATCCTCCATTACCCACAATTCAAGATAAAGATGGATGGACGCCTCTTGCGTATGCTGTGCAGAATAATCAACTTGACGTTGTTAGATGGCTTGTCAGAATTGATCCGGAAGGTATGAAGACACGAAACAAAATCAAGAGAAGTGTGCTCCATCACGCTGCTCTAAACGGCAATATTGAAATAGCTTCTGTTTTCTTGGAATTGTTGGAACCATCGGACAAATGTGCATTATTTATATCACCAGACAAATATGGCGCTATATCTCTGCACGACTCGTGTTGGGATGGTCATCTTGAGTTCAGCCAATGGTTGATTGATGAATACGAGAAATGCAAATCAGAATCCGATCCTCCATTACCCACAATTCAAGATAAAGATGGATGGACGCCTCTTGCGTATGCTGTGCAGAATAATCAACTTGACGTTGTTAGATGGCTTGCCAGCATTGATCCGCAAGGTATGAAGACACGAAACAAAGTCAAGAGAAGTGTGCTCCATCACACTGCTCTAAACGGCAATATTGAAATTGCTTCTGTTTTGTTGGAATTGTTGGAACCATCGGACAAATGTGCATTAATTATATCACCAGACAAAGATGGCGCTATATCTCTGCACAACTCGTGTTCGAAGGGTCATCTTGAGTTCAGCCAATGGTTGATTGACGAATACGAGAAATGCAAATCAGAATCCGATCCTCCATTAATCACAATTCACGATAAAGACGAAGACACGCCTCTTGCGGCTGCTGTATGGTATAATCAACTTGACGTTGTTAGATGGCTTGCCAGCATTGATCCGGAGGGTATGAAGACACGAAACAAAGCCAAGAGAAGTGTGCTCCATCACGCTGCTGTAGACGGCAATATTGAAATAGCTTCTGTTTTCTTGGAATTGTTGGAACCATCGGACAAATGTGCATTAATTATATCACCAGACAAATATGGCGCTATATCTCTGCACGACTCGTGTTCGAATGGTCATCTTGAGTTCAGCCAATGGTTGATTGACGAATACGAGAAATACAAAACAGAATCCGATCCTCCATTCATCACAATTCACGATAAATATGAAGACACGCCTCTTGCGTATGCTGTGCTGAATAATCAATTTGACGTTGTTAGATGGCTTGCCAGAATTGATCCAGAGGGTATGAAGACACGAAACAAAGCCAAGAGAAGTGTGCTCCATCACGCTGCTGTAGACGGCCATATTGAAATTGCTTCTGTTTTCTTGGAATTGTTGGAACCATCGGACAAATGTGCATTAATTATATCACCAGACAAATATGGCGCTATATCTCTGCACGACTCGTGTTCGAATGGTCATCTTGAGTTCAGCCAATGGTTGATTGACGAATACGAGAAATGCAAATCAGAATCCGATCCTCCATTACCCACAATTCACGACAAAAATGAACACACGCCTCTTGCAGTTGCTGTGCAGATTAATCACTTTGACGTTGTTAGATGGCTTGTCAGAATTGATCCGGAAGGTATGAAGACACGAGACATAGACAAGAGGAGTGTGCTCCATCACGCTGCTCTAAACGGCAATATTGAAATTGCTTCTGTTTTCTTGGAATTGTTGGAACCATCGGACAAATGTGGATTAATTATATCACCAGACAAATATGGCTCTATATCTCTGCTATACTCGTGTTTCAAGGGTCATCTTGAGTTCAGCCAATGGTTGATTGACGAATACGAGAAATGCAAATCAGAATCCGATCCTCCATTACCCACAATTCACGATAAAGATGAAGAAACGCCTCTTGCGGCTGCTGTAAAGAATAATCAAATTGACGTTGTTAGATGGCTCGCCAGCATTGATCCGCAAGGTTTGAAGACATAAAATAAAGGCAGGAGTGGTGTGCTTCATCACGCTGCTGCAAACGGCAATATTGAAATTGCTTCTGTTTTCTTGGAATTGTTGGAACTATCGGACAAATGTTCATTAATTATATCACCAGACAAAGATGGCGCTATATCTCTGCACTTCTCGTGTTCGAAAGGTCATCTTGAGTTCAGCCAATGGTTGATTGACGAATACGAGAAATGCAAATCAGAATCCGATCCTCCATTACCCACAATTCACGACAAAGATGAACACACGCCTCTTGCGGCTGCTGTGCAGATTAATCGACTTGACGTTGTTAGATGGCTTGCCAGCATTGATCCGCAAGGTATGAAGACACGAAACAAAGTCAAGAGAAGTGTGCTCCATCACGCTGCTCTGAACGGCAGTATTGTAATTGCTTCTGTTTTCTTGGAATTTTTGGAACCATCGGACAAATGTGCATTAATTATATCACCAGACAAAGATGGCGCTATATCTCTGCACAACTCGTGTTCGAATGGTCATCTTGAGTTCAGTCAATGGTTGATTGACGAATACGAGAAATGCAAATCAGAATCCGATCCTCCATTACCCACAATTCACGACAAAGATGAACACACGCCTCTTGCGGCTGCTGTGCAGATTAATCGACTTGACGTTGTTAGATGGCTTGCCAGCATTGATCCGCAAGGTATGAAGACACGAAACAAAGTCAAGAGAAGTGTGCTCCATCACGCTGCTCTAAACGGCAATATTGAAATAGCTTCTGTTTTCTTGGAATTGTTGGAACCATCGGACAAATGTGCATTAATTATATCACCAGACAAATATGGCGCTATATCTCTGCACGACTCGTGTTCGAATGGTCATCTTGAGTTCAGCCAATGGTTGATTGACGAATACGAGAAATGCAAATCAGAATCCGATCCTCCATTAATCACAATTCACGATAAATATGAAGACACGCCTCTTGCGGCTGCTGTGCAGATTAATCGACTTGACGTTGTTAGATGGCTTGCCAGCATTGATCCGCAAGGTATGAAGACACGAAACAAAGTCAAGAGAAGTGTGCTCCATCACGCTGCTCTAAACGGCAATATTGAAATAGCTTCTGTTTTCTTGGAATTGTTGGAACCATCGGACAAATGTGCATTAATTATATCACCAGACAAATATGGCGCTATATCTCTGCACGACTCGTGTTCGAATGGTCATCTTGAGTTCAGCCAATGGTTGATTGACGAATACGAGAAATGCAAATCAGAATCCGATCCTCCATTAATCACAATTCACGATAAATATGAAGACACGCCTCTTGCGGCTGCTGTGTGGTATAATCAACTTGACGTTGTTAGATGGCTTGTCAGAATTGATCCGGAAGGTATGAAGACACGAAACAAAGTCAAGAGAAGTGTGCTGCATTACGCTGCTCTAAACGGCAATATTGAAATTGCTTCTGTTTTCTTGGAATTGTTGGAACCATCGGACAAATGTGGATTAATTATATCACCAGACAAATATGGCTCTATATCTCTGCTATACTCGTGTTTTAAGGGTCATCTTGAGTTCAGCCAATGGTTGATTGACGAATACGAGAAATACAAATGAGAATCCGATCCTCCATTACCCACAATTCACGATAAAGATGAAGAAACGCCTCTTGCGGCTGCTGTGCAGAATAATCAACTTGACGTTGTTAGATGGCTTGCCAGCATTGATCCGCAAGGTTTGAAGACACAAAATAAAGGCAGGAGTGGTGTGCTTCATCACGCTGCTGCAAACGGCAATATTGAAATTGCTTCTGTTTTCTTGGAATTGTTGGAACCATCGGACAAATGTTCATTAATTATATCACCAGACAAAGATGGCGCTATATCTCTGCACTACTCGTGTTCGAAAGGTCATCTTGAGTTCAGCCAATGGTTGATCGACGAATACGAGAATTGCAAATCAGAGTCCGATCCTCCATTACCCACAATTCACGATAAAGATGAAGACACGCCTCTTGCGACTGCTGTGGCGAATAATCAACTTGACGTTGTTAGATGGCTTGTCAGAATTGATCCGGAAGGTATGTAGACACGAAACAAATTCAAGAGAAGTGTGCTCCATCACGCTGATGTAGACGGCAATATTGAAATTGCTTCTGTTTTCTTGGAATTGTTGGAACCATCGGACAAATGTGCATTAATTATACCACCAGACAAAAATGGCTTTATATCTCTGCACTACTCGTGTTCGAATGTAATCTTGAGTTCAGCCAATGGTTGATTGATGAATACGAGAAATGCAAATCAGATTCCGATCCTCCCTTACCCACAATTCACGATAAAGATGGATGGACGCCTCTTGCGGCTGCTGTAGCGTATAATCAACTTGACTTTGTTAGATGGCTTGTCAGAATTGATCCGGAAGGTATGAAGACACGAAACAAAGTCAAGAGAGGTGTGCTTCATCACGCTGCTCTAAACCGCAATATTGAAATTGCTTCTGTTTTCTTGGAATTGTTGGAACCATCGGACAAATGTGCATTAATTATATCACCAGACAAAGATGGCGCTATATCTCTGCACAACTCGTGTTCGAAGGGTCATCTTGAGTTCAGCCAATGGTTGATTGACGAATACGAGAAATGCAAATCAGAATCCGATCCTCCATTACCCACAATTCAAAATAAAGATGAATGCACGCCTCTTGCGGCTGCTGTAGCGTATAATCAACTTGACGTTGTTAGATGGCTTGTCAGAATTGATCCGGAAGGTTTGAAGACACAAAATAAAGTCAAGAGAAGTGTGCTCCATTACGCTGCTCTGAACGGCAGTATTGTAATTGCTTCTGTTTTCTTGGAATTTTTGGAACCATCGGACAAATGTGCATTAATTATATCACCAGACAAAGATGGCGCTATATCTCTGCACAACTCGTGTTCGAATGGTCATCTTGAGTTCAGCCAATGGTTGATTGACGAATACGAGAAATGCAAATCAGAATCCGATCCTCCGTTACCCACAATTCACGACAAAGATGAACACACGCCTCTTGCGGCTGCTGTGCAGATTAATCGATTTGATGTTGTTAGATGGCTTGCCAGCATTGATCCGCAAGGTATGAAGACAAGAAACAAAGTCAAGAGAAGTGTGCTCCATTACGCTGCTCTAAACGGCAATATTGAAATTGCTTCTGTTTTCTTGGAATTGTTGGAAACATCGGACAAATGTGCATTAATTATATCACCAGACAAAGATGGCGCTATATCTCTGCACAACTCGTGTTCGAAGGGTCATCTTGAGTTCAGCCAATGGTTGATTGACGAATACGAGAAATGTGAATCAGAATCCGATCCTCCATTACCCACAATTCAAAATAAAGATGAATGCACGCCTCTTGCGGCTGCTGTAGCGTATAACCAACTTGACGTTGTTAGATGGCTTGTCAGAATTGATCCGGTAGGTTGAAGACACGAAACAAAGCCAAGAGAAGTGTGCTTCATCACGCTGCTCTAAACGGCAATATTGAAATTGCTTCTGTTTTCTTGGAATTGTTGGAACCATCGGACAAATGTGCATTAATTATACCACCAGACAAAGATGGCGCTATATCTCTGCACAACTCGTGTTCGAATGGTCATCTTGAGTTCAGCCAATGGTTGATTGACGAATACGAGAAATGCAAATCAGAATCCGATCCTCCGTTAGCACAATTCACGTCAAAGATGAACACACGCCTCTTGCGGCTGCTGTGCAGATTAATCAACTTGAGGTTGTTAGATGGCTCGCCAGAATTGATCCAGAAGGTATGAAGACACGAAACAAAGTTAAGAGTAATGTGCTTCATCACGCTGCTGTAGACGGCAATATTGAAATTGCTTCTGTTTTCTTGGAATTGTTGGAACCATCGGACAAATCTGCAATAATTATATCACCAGACAAAGATGGCGCTATATCTCTGCACTACTCGTGTTCGAAGTGTCATCTTGAGTTCAGCCAATGGTTGATTGACCAATACGAGAAATGCAAATCAGAATCCGATCCTTCATTACCCACAATTCACGACAAAGATGAACACACGCCTCTTGCAGCTGCTGTGCAGATTAATCAACTTGACGTTGTTAGATGGCTCGCCAGAATTGATCCAGAAGGTATGAAGACACGAAACAAAGTCAAGAGTAATGTGCTTCATCACGGTGCTGTAGACGGCAATATTGAAATTGCTTCTGTTTTCTTGGAATTGTTGGAACTATCGGACAAATCTGCAATAATTATATCACCAGACAAAGATGGCGCTATATCTCTGCACTACTCGTGTTCGAAGTGTCATCTTGAGTTCAGCCAATGGTTGATTGACGAATACGAGAAATGCAAATCAGAATCCGATCCTCCATTGCCCACAATTCAAGATAAAGATGAACACACGCCTCTTGCGACTGCAGTGCAGAATAATCAACTTGACGTTGTTAGATGGCTTGCGAGAATTGATCCGGAAGGTATGAAGACACGAAACAAAGTCAAGAGTAGTGTGCTTCATCACGCTGCTGTAGACGGCAATATTTAAATTGCTTCTGTTTTCTTGGAATTGTTGGAACCATCGGACAAATGTGCATTAATTATATCACCAGACAAACATGGCGCTATATCTCTGCAATACTCGTGTTTGAAGGGTCATCTTGAGTTCAGCCAATGGTTGATTGACGAATACGAGAAATGCAAATCAGAATCCGATTCTCCATTACCCACAACTCAAGATGAAGATGAACACACGCCTCTTGCGGCTGCTGCGCAAAATAATCAAATTAACGTTGTTAGTTGGCTTGCCAGCATTGATCCGCAAGGTTTGAAGACACAAAATAAAGACAGGAGTGGTGTGCTTCATCACGCTGCTGCAAACGGCAATATTGAAATTGCTTCTGTTTTCTTGGAATTGTTGAAACCATCGGACAAATGTGCATTAATTATATCACCAGACAAAGATGGCGCTATATCTCTGCACTACTCGTGTTCGAAGGGTCATCTTGAGTTCAGCCAATGATTGATTGACGAATACGAGAAATGCATATCAGAATCCGATCCTCCATTACCCACAATTCAAGATAAAGATGGATGGACGCCTCTTGCGGCTGCTGTGGTAAATAATCAACTTGACGTTGTTAGATGGCTTGCAAATTGATCCGGAAGGTATGAAGACACGAAACAAAGTCAACAATAGTGTGCTTCATTATGCTGCTGTAGACGGAAATATTGAAATTACTTCTGTTTTCTGGAATTATTGGAACCATCGGACAACTGTGCATTAATTATATCACCAGACAAACATGGCGCTATATCTCTGCACTACTCGTGTTCGAAGGGTCATCTTGAGTTCAGCCAATGATTGATTGACGAATACGAGAAATGCAAATTAGAATCCGATCCTCCATTACCCACAATTCACGATGAAGATGAAGACACGCCTCTTGCGTATGCTGTGCTGAATAATCAATTTGACGTTGTTAGATGGCTTGCCAGAATTGATCCGGAGGGTATGAAGACACAAAACAAAGTCAAGAGAAGTGTGCTCCATCACGCTGCTCTAAACGGCAATATTGAAATAGCTTCTGTTTTCTTGGAATTGTTGGAACCATCGGACAAATGTGCATTAATTATATCACCAGACAAAGATGGCGCTATATCTCTGCACTACTCGTGTTCGAAGGGTCATCTTGAGTTCAGCCAATGATTGATTGACGAATACGAGAAATGCAAATTAGAATCCGATCCTCCATTACCCACAATTCACGATGAAGATGAAGACACGCCTCTTGCGTATGCTGTGCTGAATAATCAATTTGACGTTGTTAGATGGCTTGCCAGAATTGATCCGGAGGGTATGAAGACACGAAACAAAGTCAAGAGAAGTGTGCTCCATCACGCTGCTGTAGACGGCAATATTGAAATTGCTTCTGTTTTCTTGGAATTGTTGGAACCATCGGACAAATGTGCATTAATTATATCACCAGACAAAGATGGCGCTATATCTCTGAACTACTCGTGTTCGAAGGGTCATCTTGAGTTCAGCCAATGGTTGGTTGACGAATACGAGAAATGCAAATCAGAATCCGATCCTCCATTACCCACAATTCAAAATAAAGATGAATGCACGCCTCTTGCGGCTGCTGTGGTGAATAATCAACTTGACGTTGTTAGATGGCTTGCAAATTGATCCGGAAGGTATGAAGACACGAAACAAAGTCAACAATAGTGTGCTTCATTACGCTGCTGTAGACGGCAATATTGAAATTACTTCTGTTTTCTGGAATTATTGGAACCATCGGACAACTGTGCATTAATTATATCACCAGACAAACATGGCGCTATATCTCTGCAATACTCGTGTTTGAAGGGTCATCTTGAGTTCAGCCAATGGTTGATTGACGAATACGAGAAATGCAAATCAGAATCCGATCCTCCCTTACCCACAATTCAAGATAAAGATGAACACACGCCTCTTGCGGCTGCTGTGCAGAATAATCAACTTAACGTTGTTAGATGGCTTGCCAGAATTGATCCGGAAGGTATGAAGACACGAAACAAAGTCAAGAGTAGCGTGCTTTATCACGCTGCTGTAGACGGCAATATTGAAATTGCTTCTGTTTTATTGGAATTGCTGGAACCATCGGACAAATGTGCAATAATTATATCACCAGACAAAGATGGCGCTATATCTCTGCACTACTCGTGTTCAAAGGGTCATCTTGAGTTCAGTCAATGGTTGAATCACGAATACAAAAAATGCAGGTCAGCGTCTGATCCTCCATTACACCGTATTGAAAATAAAGATGGCAAAGTTGCTGCGATGAGTGGACATGGTGACATTGTTAATTGGTTAGTCTGCATTAATCAAGATAAATGAAAAGACGAAACAAAAACAAGGAAAGTGTACTTCATTACTCGTGTTTGAACGGTCATCTTGAGTTCAGCCCTTCTTTTTGCTGTGGTGAATGGACCTTGCAGGTGTATCATTTTTGCTTTTGTAAAAATTTAATCTTTTTGAATCAATAATAGAAATACCCTCCTTTCGAGAACCTTTTGTCAAGAATCAATCTCTATACTTTTATAACCCGATACATAGTCTTACATTCTTTTGTTATCTTACTCATTGAAATTCAATACTTTAGCTTGCATGTGGCATAAAATACACTGTGTAGAAATAGATGCTATTTACTCTATTGGTTTTTGTTCCAACTTTTGATACGAAAATAATTGAATATTTGTGCTCGAGTGGTTTTTTCTTCAGACAAACTTCGACATTTTAACTAGCCATTTTTAAACGGAATTTTTTTTATACCATTTAAAAAATATTGTTGCCCTGAGCTTGTGTTTGAAAATATATTTTGGGACAATTAACGCGCGATATATTTCGCGCTAATAACGCGTACGCGGAGATTTAATCCGTCCTAGAAATAGTTTTAAATTGGTAGAAAGAAGCCTATTTGCCATAACTGAATTGTTACAAGGAGCGAAATCTATTCTTTTGTACTCTATAGGGCGTGTGGGGGGATGATTTAAAAAAAAAATCTCAAATTTTCGAAAAAATTTTCCATTTTAATTTATTACATTTAATTTTTAAATTGTTATTACTGCTCAATAAGCTTTAAAATGCAGTCGGAACAATCAAGGCTTCGCCCTGATATGAGCAGTCTTGTTTTATTTTAAAATTTCGTGGTTGCTTAGTGTAAATGTAAAACACAAGCTTTGAGTGCAACTTGATATAAAAACTGAATTTATTTATAGAAAAAGTGCTTGCCATGAAACTCTTGTAATGGAAAAAAGGCTAGTTTTAGTGATTCTATCATTGAAACAAATGATGATCATGTTATTTTCAAACAATTTTTTTCTACCATAAAATAGTCTCGACTGGTATGTTAAGCTTTTTCCAAATATGAAAATCGTATCTGTCAAACCAGGTTGAATTAAGCAAATTGATTGAGAATCAAGTCATGGAAAAAAAATTCCGCCAAGCTTGGTTCATTCTATTTTTTGAATAGAAATTTTTTTTTTTTGCAATGTTTCAACATTTTGCATATCAACGATTTTCATTCACACGTAATAATAGACACGATCTGTTGTGCATCTTCACTGCCAATTAACAGACGTGTATTTTTTCAATTTTCAAAGTAAACCCAGTAGCAATTGACTTGATAGTGCCTGCAGCTCCCTCTCCGCCGACTGGGAGTCTCTCATTTTCTGGTTTACTTCCAATGGAGTCAGTGAGATTGGAGCAATATGAAAAAAAAACACAACAAATGAGTCCAACAAATTGGCGCAATAGTTTAACTTTTTGTGCGTTAGTTGCTACAATTTATTGACTTTTTGCTCGAGAAAATCAAGTCGGTTGTCTTTTTACAGTTTTCACGCATCTGCGACTTAGTGAAACACTTTTGTCAGTATAAACCGAAGTTTTTTTTTCAGTTTTTTGAAAAGTTTAAGCCAGGATATGGAATATTACTAGGATAGCTAGGTGTGAAAGATTAAGAAGTTTTTATGCTAGTTTGATTGTCGACTATAACAAATTTGCTAATTATGACCATAATAATTGCAGTTTCGTGTGTCTAAGGGTTTTGCACTGGATTTTGATGCAAAAACAACAAAGAATAACTGATTAAAAAGTCAAAATGGTTCTATTATAATGGACTAGAAAGATACTCTTGAATCGGACTTTTGATACATTACACTCGTGTTTTCCAAAATCTTTGAATCGATCAAAATTTGGTTTATGATCGAAGTTCAAAAGCGGACCAATTCAAAAGACTTAAATTCGAGTTTTTACTAAAATTCAATAGCAATTTAACCAAATGATATGGTTTAAAAATAGAGGGTGTAAAACAACTTTTGATTGCTTCATTGTTTATACTACGACAGTAAAGTTGAACTCAATTTTGTTCAGGAAAGAAAATATCGCTAAAGGTCAATCATAACTTTGAACAGGTTTTGGTTTTTGCCTGCAGCAAGTAATCTCTGCCAAATTTGTTATACACAATCTCTTTATTGTTCTGCCGCTTTAGTCGCTTTTTTTCTCGTTGGATAACAATCGCAATAAGGCAGTGAATTTTCTATTGGCATCAATTTGTCGAACCCAGCATCGAAAAGCTAATTCATTTGCTGCATCTTAGTATGTGATCAATTTTGTCAGCTGTTTTGAAGGGTTCGAAAGTACAAAAAATTTCTCCTTTCAAACAAACCCTCACATAAAATTGCGCTTTATATTCAAATCATAAGGATGAAAGAATCTTTATAAAAATTAACCAGTTTTTTGCGTTCATTGTATTACAGTATTTTTTAATGTTTTTTATTGTTTTTGAGCAACAAAGTTTATTCAACACTGACTGAACGCATACGTAGCTTGGTCCAAGGTCAATTAAAGCAGTGGTTTTGTCTTTCATTGATTGTCATTGAAATTCTCTTCCTGTGTTGACTTCCTCAACAAATTAACGTTGGTTGGTTTTTTTTCTATAAACAAAATCACCTACATCATCTACTTCACCTACTTCAATTTTTTTGGTCGGAATTATTTTGGCCGCAGATCACCAACGTTATATGAATTTACAAGGAAGGGTCGTGCATTGAGCATTGCTTCTAGGTCGAATTGTAAAGTATGAACTTCCTCTCACTTGAAAACAATTTCTCCATAAGTTTTTTAAGACGAGATTTGGCAAGATTCCCAAATTCCCAAACTTCACCAAAAATAGTAGATACTTGCAGCACTTTTTTCCAAGCGATTTTGATTGCATCTGCAGCATTAAGCATTGATTGTTTTTTTTATGTTTTCCTAAGGCTTAGTTTGATTTGCCGAAGCCCATTTTTGGTTCACAAAAGCTGCAGTCCATTGCCTAAGCGCATCGTCACTGGAGTAAGACACCTAGCATCAAATCGTCTCAGAGCAGCAGTATAACACTGTGGGGAGAAACTAGTTTTTAACCCCAAAAACATGGTTTTTGTTTCGAAAGAAAAAACCAAATCAGTATCCATTTTTTTTTGTCATTTTGTGTTACAAAAGGGCCAGCAAAATTGTCTCCAATGTGAGTGAAAGAAGTTGAAGACTTTTTTGTTCTCTGAGATCGTCTCCCTTCAATGGTGGTTTGCATCGGTGGAACTTCGCATAGTTTTTTGTGGGTGACAAAGGGCTGCTTAGGCGATTACGATCCAAAAATTTGTCAACAATCGGCAGGCACTCTTTTTAAGGGAGTATCTAGGTACTTCAGATGTGTGTAATTTTAGATGAAAACAGTCATTTTTCTGGTATCGTAATTTGTTCCCACTGATCATCTGTGAGATCTAGTTTCTGAGTGATTTTTCCGCCCACTTTAATCATTCCGCCATCAACAAAAAGGGTACAGACGTATAGGTAGAGTCTTCTTCTCAAGTCTTTGAATATCTTGAATTTGTCACTGAAAAGTTTGTTTCCTTGTTCCTAATTAGCATTCAAAATGCGTTGCGTTGGGTCGTCATAGAAAATCAATGACTGTTGTTGTTGTCATTTTTGCAATCTTTTTTTTTTGCATTAGGGAAGAAACGGAACAAATCAAAACACTCATAAGATTTTTCAGGTTGCTAGCTTTTCCAAATCAATCAGTATGTCTGAAAAAAGCATAACCAATTGATAACTATTGACTACAGCTATCTTTCTTTTTCCATCACGTTCGTTTTTCAAAATGACTAATGAACCTATCTTTAAAAAATTCTTGGCAAAAATGCTTGGTGGAACCCTGAAAGTTCTGACTGCCTTTTAAGGTCAATGGAGCAGTTATAATCTAAAAACAATATTCTGATTGTAAGAAAGAAAAAATAATAAATTTTTAAATATTGCATCTCATTGTAAAATATCAAAATTATTGCAGCTCATTGTAAGAACTCATCATGAGGTCAGCATCAAATTTAGGGGTATTATCAAAAGTGTTCATAAGATTACAATTTTTAAAAGAAAAACTATAAAATGAAGAAGACTACTCGTATCAGGGCTGAGCCCTAAATGATCTGACTGCCATTTTAAAATTTATGCAGAAGTGTTCGCTTGATGAAAATTGATGAATTAAAAAAAAATTCAAAATAAATGAGATCTTTTGGAAATTCAAATCCCCACACGCCATATAAAGTACAAAGTGATAGATTTTTCTCCTAGTAACAAATCAACCGAGGCAAATAAGCGTGCTTAAACCAACTTGGATCAATTTCTGAAACTGATTAAATCTCCGCTTACGCATTAATAGTGCGAAATATATTGCGCGTTAATTGTCCTGAATGGCCAAGTTGGCCAAATTGTTGAAACCCTCAAAAATTTACGGAAATAATCACAGTTGAAATTTGTTTTTTAAATTGAGCCCAGGACAACAATTTATTTTGGCTGAGATAAGAAAAAATTTGTCAACAATGGCTAGTTAAAAAGTCGAATTTTGACTGAAAAAAACCACCCTTTCACAAATAAAGGCAGGCGGAACATAGATCTTTAAAGGCAACCCAAAAATGCTATAAATAAAAGTTTGCTTAAGGGTACTTTTTTCGGATAAACAAAATGCGAAACAAAAAGCAATTGTTAGCTCTAAACCTTTCCACAAATTTTTCGTGAAGTTATGGGAATTTAAAAATTGCCAATTTATAATGAACAAAGTGCGATGAATTTCCTGCTAATAACGCATAAGCAGGGATTCAATTCGTTTTAGAAATTGTTCCAAATTGAATTGAGATATTTGAAAAACAAAATGATATACTTTGCATGAAGAAAAGTATTAAATAGTCCAATAGCATGCCTCAACTCAGTTTTGAACAATGTTTTCGGTTAATGAATTGCGCGTTGACTGTCTCAACAATTTAGTTTTTGATCATTTTTCACCAAACAAAAGAGCCTTGATTTTTTTC